CACTCACAACTTGTGTCAGGTGATCTCAGTAGGTCACATGGTAGGGCGAGTCAAGGTCTCACAATGGGTTTTCACACCTTGGCTCTTTTGATGAAGCACATGATCAATAGTGGGTCAATGACCCTTTTAAAGGAACAACTCCCATTAGGCCAGGTTTCACAATGAACATACCCGAAACTCTGGCTGATTGGGACCCACACCCAGTTTCACACCTTGGCTCAGGCGATTAGAGGATCATCAGGGGGTCCTTTTGTCCCTCTGTGGGGGGGGTCACTCCCACTAGGTTTATATCTGGGACTCTCCACCATTTGACCTTAGAACTGAAGAAGCTTCTTGGATGAGAGGTGAAACGTCTTCAAACAACTTAAAGAAGTCCAGACACTTTTCTTTGCAAGCTCCTTTGACTACGATGACCTGGATGACTGAGAAGCTTCACAGACAACTCCCATTAGGGTTTAAATACTTGATTTCGTTTTAGTACTGATGACGCTTTTCAGATGAGAGGTGAAACGCTTTCAAGAAACCTAAAAAAGTCCAGTCGCTTTTCTTTCCAGGCTCCTTAAAATCTCCCATATTTATTCATGTCTGATGACTGCAAAAATCATAGCATACAATTCATATTCTTTTTCTTCAAACTCATCAACCGTTTGTTGGCACAAGCACTTTATTTGTGCCTTTATACATGTGTATAGGCATATATGCCAGTCTGTATTTGTGAAAATTGGTCTATTAACACCATGAAACGGGGGTGGCATAAGACAACATGAGCACAAACAAAAAAACACCAGCCAAACCCACAAGCTAACACCTTGTCATGTGGATCTTTTGTTCAGATAGCTTTCATTGATGGGATGCTGCCAGAGCTGTCCTCTTCCCTTAAGAGGATGAAGTCATTAAGCAGAATGGGAGGGAGAGAGAAATAAGTACATGAAAACAGATTTTTATTTGTATCCTTAGAAAGCCTCCCTCTAGTTAACATTGATTTTCTCTTGCTGCCAGTTCATTTTCAGAGTGTTCTACTTCTACTTGGCTCCATCTGTGAATTTCTTCTCGTTTCTTCTCCCCCTATACTTTCTTCCCGTTTTGTTTTCCCTTTGCGCTTCCTCATTTCTTGTTCCGCTCATTTGTAAAAGAGCCAACTGTCTACATTCATCAAACGGGAGGAAACTTTATTGCAAGTAGCGTGCAACAGTCAACCATCAAATATGTATATCCTTGTACTTCTTTGATCATAATCATCGTTTAATGTTTCAGTCAAGCTGTTTTGTCTGCTTCCTCGTGAAGGCACAGGGGATGCCTTTATTTTATCCTCTTTTTCCTTAACATAAAGGTCCCTCTGGCACTCGTGGTCTGTTTGCTGTGGATGGTTGATCTCCTTTCCTTTCATGCCAATGTTATTCCATTTTATCCTCAACTCTCCCAGTCTATGTATGTCTTCCTCATTGCTTTTGCCCTATCTGGATCACATTGTGCAAGCTGCTTCTATTGCTCTTTCATCCACATCTCTGCCTTAGTTTCTCCCGCTCTGGCTGTCTCCTTTCTCCTTCCCTGTGTGTTCATCTCTCGAGATTAGTTTACACTGTAGCATAAATTAGAGCTGAGATTAGAAGGTCATGTTCCATGAGGCAAAGTTGCACAGTTAAGCCCCCCAAAGAGAGCCTTACATAAGATGGGTTACCTATCTTACCAAGCACTGTGTTATCTTCTTCGGCTGGGAACTTTTGTGGAATCCTCTCTAAAATAATATTAATGTTTCAGTCGAATTTTATAACCTAAAATGATCCTGGTTCTCATTGTAAGACAATGTAAGATAATAAGTTGAACTGATGCAATTTACTAATGTGTATTTTCCTCACTTCAATGAAACAGAGGACTGAAATCATAATTAGTTCTGTTGTAAGCTCTTATTATAACTGCTACAGAGCACATTCATGCTAAGTGTGTTTGGAAAGGTTTGTTAATACAGTGGATATTGTTTTCTCTGTAGTTTGTTAGATGTGCGGAGTATAATTTGTGGCAATAAAAAATACATGCAATAATTGATCTTAATTAAGCTCTAGTTTAAAATCCTTTTATACAAAACTGACATGAAATGCGGTGCTTAAAAAAAAATATATAAAATGCATAAGCACAGCTAAGTAATGTGAGAACTGGAGACGACTTTTTCTCTGAAACAACAGATAATAATGGCTCTGCTACTGGAAATAGTTACTAATAATTAACTGAAAGTGAACTGCTGTATGCCCACCTTTACTTGACATATTGTGCCTTATCAAATAAAAGTAAAATTTATATACAACAAGTAAAAGTCACTTACGTAACTTTCCAGTATCTTTATAATTTCACCAGATAACAGGACATTAACCCTTTTCTTTTTTTTTTCCATTTGCCTACATAATCCAGTCGTTAAGTGATGACGTGACGAATCCTACTTCCGGGCCTAAAGTAGTCTGCGTTTAATATGGCTTTTGTGTTGTTAACATTTTTAATGTTTTGTACTTTCTTCTATTTAATCTCAAAAAGCTCCTAAAACAGTCAGTGATCACCGTTGACCTCCCTCGGCTTTTATTACCGCTAATCATTTATTTAAGCTCAGTTTTTAAAACCTTAGGATGTAACTACAGCCCAGCCCATGCAGCAGTATATGAATGACTAACCTCGTATTGTGGATGGATTATCTCAGTTGTTCTCCTGGCTGAAGTTTGGTCCTTTTACAGCATCCTGCCATGCGATTACATTTGTTCCTGACCACCGAGAACACTCACGTAAACTTTTATCGAGTGGAAAAAAAGTTAGCTTGTTTATATTATGCTAACATAGCTGTGTCGCTAGCGGTCACGTAGCACATCATTATATACAAGCTAGCCAAACTTCAGTAACCCTACAAACGTTACTGCTGTTTAGTTTTCTGTCTTCATTTATGCTGGAAGTGATAGCAGAGCTGTACGTTTTAATTTGTTTCCAAAACCCGGCAGTCAGGACATGCTATATTGTATTTAGATAGAAGCTAGCGAGCTAACTCCCTGCTAACTTCTAACGCCGTTAAATGTCATAAATTCCGTTTTCATGGATGCCTGAATGTTAAATTCAATTGTTACACCTGGTAGAGCAGAACGCTGATCACTTTATTAAAGATGAAAGACTTTAGACAGTTTTTCAACTCTCAGTAATGCCATAGTGATCGTTTGATATATGGACCTGCAGCGGAGTTTAGGTCCAGACACGGCTAGTGACGTCAGACTTAACGACCGGATTATCCTAGCAACTGCCCATCCTCAAGATACTGACTTGTGGTTAAAATGTCCATGGGTGAAGTTCATTAGGTTTGTTGTTATTAACATTTTTGCAGTGGTTCCCCCATGTTTTATTTTGGCGAACTCTGTGTCATCACTTACACTAATGACATGATCCCTTATACGCAAGTATTCTTACACCGCTGTGTATGTTTTGCACATGCTTGAAATGAACCTCATTACCAAACCACTAATATGTAAAGCTGATCAACCGGTCACTGATCTGGGCAAAGAATGCTAAAAATAGGTCCTTGCCGGTTGATCGATAGATAGATAGATGGATGGAGTTGGGATGGTAGCTCATACTTAGCTCGGTACTGGAAGCAAAACTCACTTTTACTGTCTAATAATGGATGTTTCTTTAAAATGTTTTTAAAGAACAGAATTTTTTGACAAACAGAAATTATGTAAAATGAAAAATATTTTTCCAAACATGTACATACTCTTCAAGAGTTTTATTGAAAAAGAAAAAAGTAATTCCATAGCTGCACTTAATGTGAATTATTCAGACAAACGTACAAGTTAGTGTGCTGTATGCCAAAATTTTACCTCACCTAACCAAACCACTACACATCACTTTACTTTACAACATTTCTACATTCTGGTGACAGCTGTTGTCCCTGAAATATACATGCCCCTAAAAATAATGGATTCTCTGTTGCAGTGAACATATTAAAGAGGGTGCAAACATACGCAGTGAAGCTTACAAGTGACACTTACAAAGATGTTAATGGAGCATGGAGACTCCCTGTCACTTTGATGGCTGTCCTGTTCTTTGTTTACACTTTGTAAAGCAACAAAAAAATTTCTTCACATATTCCCTCCACCCCATCATTTATTATTTATTTAGTTGCTGTTGTTAGCATTAATTTAGTTCAGCAGACATGTGATGATGCTATATAGACACATATACACACATACATGATCAATAATTTGTATTATCTTCCCTGATGATGAGTTATTGTGCTTTATTCAAGCCTCTGGCTTTAATGAGGGTTAATACCATCTGCTGATTAGACAATACAGTCAGACAGGAAGGCACACGCATACACAGACACATGCTGCATGCTGCAAGTGAATCATTTAAATGGACATAATGGGCACAGCAGTGTGGGTGTGCAGGCTTGGCTTTGCACTGTATGACGTGCAACCATGCAGTCTAATGTTTTGGGAAGGAAAACTGAAACATATACACATAATACGCACACATTTCCCACACATCTTATTATGTGAATGGGAAGTGTCACACCCCAGAGAGGAAGTGGTATTAACAGTGAAGGTCTTTTCCTATTTCACGCTCCAACCATGTGTCTACTAATTTGCATCCCCTACTAACACTTCTACATCTATTGAGATGTAAAAAAAAAAAAAAAAAGGGGGGGAGAGTTGCAACGGAAAGTAAGAGAGAAAAGGGAGTTGGCGACAAATCGGACGGAAAAAGGTAGAAACCACAAGTGGAGAAGTGGAATAACAAGAGAGGAGGGTCATTAGCCCATGAATGAATGAGTGAATGAATGAATGAATGGAGAAAGAGTATGTAGTAGGGAATGCACTAAATGTCAATGCACAAGATGGGGGTAAATAGCAATGGTTGCTTGAAGATTTTGCTGCCAGGTGTGTAAGTAACACAAGTGCTGTACTTTGCCACCTGTCCATCCTGATCACCTGCGTTTCTTCACTCTAAGTCCAGGTATTTTGTGTCTACAGGTTTCAACCAGCCAGCCTGGTGGAGAGGATCCAAGCTATCGCCCAGAATGTCTCTAACATGGCCATCAGGGTGGAGCAGATATTGCAAAACAGTATGGTGCAAGGCAGAGGTACAGTATCATCATGGTTTCACCTTCTTGTTTACAATATGTGTGAGTAAAATCCAGCTTATCATTGGTTTCCTTGTTCTGTAGATTGACTACAATTGCAGACAACATCATAAATTAATATACAGCACAGGGATATTACAAGAACAATAAATAAGTATACAAGACGCACCTCACTCTCATCCAGCCTGCTCCACTCTTATGATTTACATTAAGAAACTGATTGATTAACGTTGTTACCCCAAAGGGAAACGGGCTTGCATTATGCACAATAAACACACAATTGCGTACAATGTCATTATACACAATAAAAATGTACACATAAAAGAGGAGGGGACTGGCAGACACTTGGTACCAGTGATGGTATACGTGGTCTCACACAATGTGAAGAGTGCATCGCAAACATTGCACCACTGCATAAGATCAGCCACTGAAATGTAATCAGTAATTTACAACTTGAAGCACAGCTGAACACATGAACAGCTGTCAGCTTGTGATGACAAATATGCAGACCCACACATGCAAAGGAATGAGGAGAAACAGAAACACACACACATCTGTTATTCGGGTGTTTTTTGTTTTGTTTTTTATCACTGACACAAATCAGTTTTCATACCGTGTCAGTTAGCAGACTTCTGTCTGACACCTTCTGACACAAAAATATTAAAACATAGTAGAAAGTATTTGGACAATGGGTCGTTATACTAGATTAAAATAGACAGTCAAAAACACCACCATGAAAAAAATGAGATGTTTGATTAGAGTCAACATCCAGAATCTTCTGTAGTCTGTCATATCAGATTTTTTTTGTTTTGTTTTTTTTTTTCCAGTAAATTAAAAATCGAGAGAAATAAACTCAGGCTATGGAATCATCACGGAAGCTCTGAAGTGGAGGCGAGGTCATCTCTGTAAATGTCAGCTCTTATCCAACTGTGTGGTTTTCTGTTGTCTTGTTCACAACAGACTTTTTTTTAATCAAAACCGCAGTAATAACAAATATCCGCCCACTTTCCTCTGTTACTTTTTTCTTGAGGCTAATTGCTCAACTCTTTACATGAGAATAAATGAGCATTACTTCTCCTTTTGTTTTCGCCTCTGCATCTGCAGGGACAATGGCACACGCCAAAATGAAAACAGTGCTGCTTTCTCTAATCACAGATGAATTGAAACACTGCTGGCAGACTTTATTATCATACGGCTCAGTGGCGGTTTATTTATCTCGTGGTCAGGCATGTGCGAGAAGAAACAACAGGAGAAATAGAGTTAGAAGACGTGATTAGAATTTCCTTCCCTTCAAACACTGGCAAGGCTTTTATGTTCCATCTAGAAGGGACAGAAGTCAAGTTTTTATCTTGTTAGTTGACCACATTTTCAGTTGTTGCCTTAGTGGTTGCTATTGTAATCACATTTGCAGCCAATCCGTGTATGTTTTCAGTTGATGGAGACAAGCCCCAGGGAAGACTTATGTAGAGAAATGTCTCTTTTTCATTAGGCAAATGGAAACAGACAGAATCTAAGAGAAGACAGATGTGATGGTCCGGAGAGAGAACTAGGGAGAGAAGGAGGGGATTTAAAAGAGAGGGGGAAAGAGCGAGAAAATCTAACTGCAATGGTTCTCGGACACAGTCTTCCCTTCTTCTCACATCGGCAGCAGAGAGGCAGTTAACTAAGTCATTGGAGCAATTAATGCAGTGTGTGCAGCCTAAGTGAGCAGACGTAGTTGCTAGCGTAACTGAAGGATGGTTGGCGGCAGCGGGAGACAGACTGCTTTGTCAGGCCCAGTGAATATTGTGCACTGCAGTAGATATGTTGCAAGGCTGCAAAGGGAAAACCACGGAGATTTATGAGCACTTCACAGCATGTATGACATAAACAGTAAATGATTCTGTTATGGAAGGAAGTGAATATTGCTATGAAATTTCCATAGGCAAGTGGAGTAAAGCTGTTACTGTGAGTAATGCTGTAACCTCTTGGTTCTCAGAGGGCAGCCTTTGGGTCAGACGAGTTCATGTCTAGTCATTTTGAGTAAATAAATCGATTAGCAGAAACGAGGCTGGAATTTTAAAGAGACTTTGACAAGCTCCATATGCTGATAAATGAGCTGATAGATAGTATTACATTGGCTGATTGCTGTTGGAAATGTTATATTCACTGGAGAATAAATATTCTCATTAGAGCCAACTGATTTAAGTGAACTAAGCCTTCAAGCCTGTAGACTAATGAAGCATCAGTGATTGTGGCTAATTTTACTCACAGCAGGCGTAAGTCAATTGATCATTTAACTGGATATTTACAAATGTAAATATCTTCTGTAAAATGTGAAGCTTATAAATCACAGATTGATGTTTTAATCTGGAAGCAAAAGTTCACTCACTGTGTCTTTTCAGTATTGAGAGATGGGTCGTCAAGTCAGTGTGAAGTGCCGAGAGACCCTCGCTTCCCAGAGTGTCCTGGAAAAGTAGATGTGAGTATTTAGCTGTTCTCTTCATTTCACTGTGTGAAACTGACTAGTTGATTTGGGCTTAATGAGGGTATAACTACCCAATTAAATAATAAACTTTAAGATACTATATCTAAAAGAAAAAATAACACGATTTCTATCAACACTAATTTGGTTTTGGTGGCATGGCTCTGTAATGTGACCTCTCCACCCTTCCTCACGCATACATGAAGCACACTTCCCAGCTGTTAGATTTCCATTTATTCTTCTGGCTTTATGAAAAGCCAGAAGAGGAAAGAAGCACAGAACATAACAGGCGTCAGTGTCAGTAAATATGACACTAAATAAAGAGTTATGATGGGTTTCAAAGCAGCTTGCACCTGTGATCAGCCTGCTTAAAACCAGCTTTATCAACACATCCTTTAGGAGTTTTACCATCAGCTGATCTTCTACACAGCAGACCAAGCTCCTCTGCTGGTCACACCTAAATCTGGAACTTCCTAATTTTATAAATGTGCAGTTATTAATAGAAAATGATTTAAAAACATTTTGTTACCATTATTTTGTCCTGTTGCAGAAAGACAGTTGTGAGTTATTAATTGTTGTTTCATATCTATATATCTATAGATATGTATATATAT